CACCATAATATGCTACTGCTTTAACTTTATACCAAAATTATTCTAAAAAGCAAACAAAAAACCAAAACCTCAAAGTTCATTCAGATATCATTACTTTTTAAAGGTTTTTGTGGATGGAAAAAAATAAATAAACAGAGAGGTTAGGTAACATTGTGCTCAAAGTTGAACTCTGAATCAGAGACTATGGTTTCTGATTTCTAGTCCATTTTTCCTTGTATTTGGATATAGAGTCATAAAATAGCAGGGGCTCAGAGATCAGGAAAGGAAGCATTGAACATAAACTACCTACATAAAGCACATGGTATCAATGTGTCACGAGGGCCTATATAGTATGTGTGGGTAAGGGAATGAGTCGGTGCCCAACCATGTGTAACGTGAAAGCTCAGAGGAACAGCCAGATACTAAGTTACGACGTAACACTCTCTCCCGTGCTTGGAAGATTTGTATTTCTGCCCTGGCTCTGTACCACTAAGGTTTGAACTGCAATCTTTGGGTCTCTGGTTTTCTTCCCTGTAAGTTAGGCAGTGAGACTAGATGATTTCCCCAGGTCCCATCCAAGCTTCAGCAACTGACTCCAACTCTGAAATGAACAGTGAGTCACTGGCTGACACAACTGCATGGCCCATTCCTAGCTGGTAATCACTGCACACACAGGAACCACAAAAGAGCAGTTTCCCTCTACATCCTACTAATGCCAGGTCTTAGATGATGACATATGTATCACTGACTACTAAACACTAAAAAACCTCTGTTTTAAATTTAGATTAAATAATAATCTATGTTCTGGCTTCACTTTGAACAGTACTCTCCTATGAGGGTAGGCATACCAGTGTCAGGACAGCAACTCAACAGTGATAGTCAGATATTTAGGCTCAACTGTACTGAACACTCAGTTCCAATAACGTTTCTGTGTGGTTGGGAGGGAGGCATTAGGCTAAATAACATTGTCTTAAAGCAAAGGAGGAGGAAGAAAAGGAGAAATCCAAGTGACTAAAAACAGTATTCTGAGTAAAAAAAGCCATTCATTAAGGGTCCTAAACATTTTCTTAGCAAAAAAGGAGGAGGAAGTGAATTCAGTGTGTCTAACAATAGATCTATGAGTAAATAAATTTCTTTAGAAGGTACAATATAAAATTGTTCAATGTCATGTCTTTTCAAATTTTTAAGGACATAGAAAATGGTCATATATATATAGTTGAATAAACGGGGTGGTTTATGAAACATGCACAATGTGATCCCAATTTTTATTTTAAAATGCCACTTATTCACATTAGAAAAAGAAAGAATATATAATAAAATATTTATATTGGTTTTACCAAATAGGTAAATGGAAGATTTTTCTTTTGATATTTACCTCTATCACTTTTCCTCAACAAGTGTATACTTTTGCAATTTGAAAAAGTTATTTAAAGAAATTAAAATCACATCCTCAGTTTGTATCAAATATTTAACTACTTCAAATTAAAATAATTGATTTTTATACTCAATATGATTAATAAGGAATTTCAAATATACACATCTTTCAAATGAGTATCACTAAATTAAAATAATAAAATAAAATGAGATTCCAATGTGCGATAAATAGCATTGAATATATTCCATGCCTCCTTGTCCCCAGTTATTCCTCTTAGAAGAGTATTTCTCAGCAATAAACACTCAAAATGGAAACTGCATTTATTGAGTCAACTTTGGTTACCACTAACTCAGACCAAGTTTCATCACTATGGTTGCTAAGCGCAGAATTTACAAACATTTATTTTCTTCCCCCAGCTTAGCCTGCATGAACACCAGGAAGAAAGAACCTTAAAATGCCGAGCATTCAACGCACAATTTGGGATTTGAGTTTTCTTCCCAGAGTCACAAACATCAGCTCTCCAGATATTTCAACCTAACTTTAAGGAAGGATCAAAACCAAACCAGAACAAGGCAAAACCATTTAAGACACAGTACAGTTCAGATGGAGAGGAAAAAAAAAATCACCTTCCAGCCCGATCCCGTTGTTGGATAATGCTCTTCAATACATGGCATTTATGGCAGAACAGTTGTAATATATCCAAGCAAGCTGCCGTCCCTGCAGAGCACAGTGAAGAAATACCCCTGCGACAGTTTCTTAGTTTCTCACCACAGTGGACCGTCCCTGGCTGCTCCAGGAGGGAAGGACGGAGTTCGCCAGGGACCCGTTCCTTGGGTACATTCACACTGGCACCTACCTGTGCTCTACCGAGGCTAAGCCACATCGTCTGACTTCAGCTGATGCAGTGACCTCACTGGGAGTTCAGTCAGGTAAAACAAGAAGCCTTTACTAGTCTGTGCAGCTCCTTCCGTAGAAATATTGCATGAGTCAGCTTTTATCTCTCAAAACTCAACACACAAAGGCTTTACAAAAACCTGATTTGCAACTTTCTCACTGCCTTTTTCCCCCTGGTGTGCAGACCACAGACTTCAGCATCACTAAGAGCCTTAAATGAAACATGACATCACTCAGTTGAGAAACAGGACAATAGACACCACTGTGGGTAACTTGAAAATGCACACTTGACTGAGCAACACCCTGCGACTGCCATTCTTTTGTGAACATCAAATACAACCCACACTCGCCGGAAGCTGCTTGGGCTCCGCCTTCCTGGCTCTGGCGACCACTCTCATTAAACCCCCCAAAAGCAGCACCGTCTTCAGGGCGCTGATATTTTCAAGTTCACTTCCTGAATTTTAAGTTTATTTCAATGTAAATGGACACATCTTCAACTTAGGTTTTAAAGCGAAGTCTGGGGGTGGGGGTGGGGGTTGAATAACACAGTTGGAGGAAGTTTGGATGGTTTCCGTAAGAAGGCATTTAATAGAGTTTTCAGTAAGCCAAGTTAAACAGTAATACATTTAAACTTGACTCTTTTAAAAACAGTCCTTAAGACCTATCTGATCAAAAATGCCTAAAAATGTAAACCTATAAGCATTTCTTAGAAAAACAGTTCTGTGATTTTTATATTCATAAATACTAAGTATTAAAGACAGAACAATTTAACTCCCACACTTTAGTAGGAGAGACCTTCAAATGATTTTGTGTTTCAATTGCCCTAAGGCCACCTGTCCTTCAAATGCTTTATCTATTTTTACATAGAGATTCAAAAGGTTCACATTTGTAAAAGATATTGAGTTCTTTGGATGAAGATCTTCAGAAGCAAAAAAAAAAAAAAAGTTTTGGAAAACTGATACCAGTGTACTATGGAGCTAAAACTCAAAATATGGATTATGCCCATGTATAGTAGGTACCTAAAACTATTTCAAAGGATCAAAATCCTTTAAATAGAAGTTCTATTTAAAGCATTCATTTGTGGTTATGGAAAAATAACATTAGCTGATCATCTTAAAATAGCTATTTCTATCATGTCTAGTAAGTGATTTTAAACTACAACATAATAGGATAATTTGTTTTAATACCTATTTCCTTTCAAATAAGGCTGAGTGTATACAGGGCTACTTAAGCCATTTTGATGGACATTTATCAGTTCAGAAGACAACTTGTTGGAATGATTTCTCTCCCACGAAATTCACCAGTTTGATGGAAATCATTAAAGCATGGATGCCAAAAAGGCGCTTTGGGAGGAAGCACCCTTCCTGGGCCATGGGGACTCTCTTAATCCTGCAGTCTGATTCCCACAGCACATCCCTGAAGGACGTCCCCCACACCTTGGCCCCAGGCCCCACTTTCTGTTTAGCTGAGTAAGAGTCAGCTCAAATCTTCAAGCTCCCTCTAACCTTCCCCAGCAACTCCAGCCCACTGCTCTTTCTGTTAGTTAAACACTGTTTACTACACTTAGTGTAAGCATCACATGGTCTCATATTTAATTATATTCTAATCATCTCTTTTCTACCCTGGATTATCAGCTTGAGGAACAGGGAACCTTCCTATACTGTACATTTGATGTTCACGTGGAAGATATAAAATCTACATTTTTGCATGCAGTAGTATATACAGAGGGTCTGGCTTCTTCTCGACATACTGGTTTTCTGTGCATATCCTCAGATCACAGCTACTTTGATTTTCAAATAAAGTATTATTATACTTAGATTTTTTTCTTTTTTTGGCCAAGAAACATACTGTGTGAAAGCCATTTCCGAGAGATACTGTGTACATTACAGATGAACCCAAACAGCAAAGCTGCTTTCAGTGCTAATGCTGGGATAGTTTGTAAATGTCTACACTGAACAAGTGACTCTGAAGAGCAGCTTGAAGTGATAGTGCTGGCCATACTGAGTCGAGTCCCATGGGTCAGTCATTTGTTAGTTCACCTGTGACTCCTACTTTAGCAAAATCATCAACTTGTACAAAAGTAAAGACCTTTCCTATCACTTGCCAGTAACTGAAACCACCCTATATTGCACACACAAACAGGGAGGGTTCATAGTATGATGAATCTAGTTTTTTCAATTATAAGCTTTTTCAGAGCAGGGAAAACACACACACAGCTTTTTTTTGCCTTTGTATTTATCCCAGTGCCACCTATTTGCTGAATGAATTAACAAGTGACTAAGGCATAGGACCTTGGAAGGGATAATACGGACACAGGATAGCAGAGATAAAGAGAAAAGAGAAGAGAAAGGTTCATTTCTCCAGCAATGCCCATAGTTCCTTCACATCAAAGAGCAGAGGGGCCTTTGGTGCTTCAGAGTTTCTTTAAGGCCTCCGTTGGCTGTGCCTTGGAATTGTGATGATTTTGCTTACCAGCCCTCCCATCTCACACCGCTAAACCGGTGACCCTGGACTCCTAGCAGTTCTTGCAGACAACCTGCTGTCTTCCCACTGGACGTTTTTTGGGCATGGAGCAAAATAAATCCCAAGACATGCAAAAGGCACAAATACTAGGATCCTTGCTGCTGCTTCTGCAAAATTTATATGCCCAAACTAACAGTAAATGAAAAGATGTTTTTGCTCATTCTCTTTTAAATGATGGTGAGATTGACCACAGATAAAAATGCATTTATGTCTTGTTAGGTAAAAACGACTCTCACTTCAAAGCAGGTCTTGTAACTCCGTCACAGCACTAGTTACACAATCGGGAAGTACACGAGCTATTCACAGCATCCGGCCACGAGTGGAGACCCAGGGGTAGCAGAGCAGCACCCACAGGATGTGTCTACAGCCAGCAGGACACAAACCAGCCAGAAGGCCAAGTGCAGTCCAGCCTTGTGTCCTCATTAGAAGATGACCAGAAAGCCCCACCATCTAAAAACATCCCTTGCCAGATCGTGCCATACGGCCTGTGCCTCCATGATGAGGAATCAACTCTTTTTGGTTTAAGGTAAAAGTCACCAGTGTAAACTCTAATCTCTCCTGGGAAGGGTTATGGAGTGATTGCCAGAGTCGTGTGGATTACCTTGAGTATACTTCTGGGAACTATGCAGGTCTCCTAGGAAGGAGGCCAGAATGGGGCTTGGTAGGGCTGGAGAGGCTAAGGCAAGGAAGAACAGATCGCATGCAGTTCTAGGGGCTTCACAAGGTCTGACCTAGTTGGGATACTTTGCTGACTTTGCAGCCAGACAACCGTTCCAAGAAGCTGGGCAATGAAAGATGAAAGAATGTTCCAGAGAAAGGAAGAAGGGGCAAAGGCATGCGTATTTTGGGATGTAAGGGAAGATTTTGTTTCAGATAATCCATATTGCATAAAGTATACTTAGAAAACAGTCTCACTTTTTTCAGATACAAAGATGCTAGAGGTTATAAGGGGGTATTTCTAAACAGCTCATATTTTATATATGGAATCTAATTTAAATGCTGTGGTGGGAGAACCTGTTTATCTTGTGATTTAAGATATTTCCCAAGACAAATGGTAAAACCAACTATTTTCTAAAGCACAGGCTACTGAACTTTTTATCTTTGAAAGAAAAAGGCGTGAGGTTACAATTTCTAAGTAGAAATCACAGAATAAATGTGATAAACATTAAAGTCCACTGCATGCTCAAACGTGCCACATAACCCCCTTAAGAGGACACACTGACCTTCCTCCTGAAAGTGAAATGCAATGTACTAACACGTTCTGCACTGTCGTGTATTAAAAATCTATACAGTCTTCCAGACAATTGACTCTAATCCCAGAAAACGTCACCAGCTATCAATTCTGCCTTGCTATTGTTATACTAACTTCGTTAAACACACAGAAAAGCGAACCTGTTTTTTTCTTTATAGAGGATTATTTTCAAAATGCAATACAGTTAATGGTAAGTAAGTTTGTCTTCACAAATTTAAAAAGTGTTTAAGCAAAAGACATAGGTCTAAGACAGACAAAACATTCAAGTATAGGTAGAGTTAAATGAAAGTATTATTTTTTGCTAGTCCTAAAGTATTCAATCAAACAATGGAAACCAAACTATAAATAATAGTTACCAGTACAGTACTCAAATCATCTAATTGAAAATATAATTCCTCATCCCCTACTGTACTAAAATGTCATTATTAAGGCATGGTCATAAAAATTTGAGCAAACAAACATACAAAGCCCATTATTCACAACATTTTTTTCACAGACCACCCTAACCTTGATATCAATCAAGTCACAACTTAATTTCTCTGTCATCTACTGGTCTGTTGTGAAAACCAACTGAGATGGCCTGGAAGGGCACACATTCTTGGATTCTAAAATCTTGCTCTTTCAGGAATCCCTTCATGGGCTAATTTTTCTGCCTCTATGACAATCATGGACTCTATTTTTCACTCTGTTCTTTGAATAGGACATTTTGGTCTTTATTGTCTGCGGACGATGAAATCAAGCCTTAGTTATTTCTGAACTGAACAATTTTTAGATATCAAGAGAGCAATGTGTTACAAATAGTCTTCTGGTTTCAATACTAGATCAGTCCCATCTTTAAGGACAGACCATGGGAGGACTTGCTATACTAAGCACAATGGACTAATTATCCCTCCAAGAATGCAGTATGTTTCCAGACAACGTTTTTCTCCAGGAGATAATACACATCTAATCCACTCACAACTAAAGGCATTGAACACAATCTACACTTTTTGAAAACACTCTTTAAAAAATATACTTGAACTTGTAGAGGGCTTGGATACTATTTAGAAATCCTGCAGACATATTTTCCAAAATAGTTATTAAAACAAGAATCTATTATAGTTTCAGAGTAACAGCCACGGAGGTTCATAACCTGTATGTGAGCTTGCAAAAACCATTTCATGTCCTGGCAGAAAAGGCCAAGCCCCCATAGCCAGTCTTCCCCCCCAACCACCACCATCCCTTGCTCCCCCAGCTCCAAGGCAGTGGAGTGATAGGGACAGCCCAGCCTGACATGGCCAACTGCACCCCATCCTGTAGACCCTGTAGACCCTGCAATGGGGAGATTCAGAGAGAGAATTACCAGCAGAGGGGAGGATGTAAGCTTGTGGGGGAAACAGGCTGTTCTGGGCACTTGTGATCAGTCTCTGAACGGAAAGTTCCCTGCAGCAATTGCCACAGTCCTTTAGGAATGCCACCATCCATCTCCTGGTCCCATTCCCAAGGCTACCTTCAATGTCACCATGGCTGACAGCTTCACCTCTGAGCTGTATGCCCTGAGAGCAAGTGGATTTATCCCAGGGGAGGCTATCTAACTTCTAAAACTAAAGTGCAGTGGTTGAACTTCTATTCATTTGGCTTCTGCACCAAGTCAGGAGGACAATCCCATTCAGGCAGAAATGTGCAAAAGGCCAAAGATAGATCCCACTCCAGGAAAGCAGAACTTACTCTTCTCTAAAGGAGCTGAGATGGCTTACTACTTTCCAGGATTTTTTTTTTTTAACTAAAGAAGGCAATGATGGCTGCCAACCTTGGGTATTATTCCAGCGGTCTTAAACACCCATCTATTGCCATGTGTACTGATCTTTGCCTTTCAGTTTTTGGCACACACAGCAACAACCTGCTGGCCCTTCTCCCTTCACACCTCTCTGCATTGGCTAACAGCATCAACTGCTTGCAAACTGCAAACTGGGGAGCAGCACACCACCAGGTTCTATGCTGGGTGCAGTGAATGGACATGGGCTTTGCCTTCTGGAAGCTCAAGTGTTACACAGCGGTGTGGAGTGCTGCAGATCAGCAAGAACTCTATACACGAGCAGTTGCTCTCTTTTCTAAACTGTCCTGTATTTTCATACTGCTCCTCAAGTAATATTAGAAGTGGACAGTAACTTTACATTGACAGTAAAATCAAGCTTGGTGAGGTTGCCCCCACTTAGATTTCCCTTTCCAGCCTTGGAGAGTAAGCTCTGTTGGACTCATCTTTCACCTGACATTTAATTATTTGGTCTCCAAGCCGAGAGCCAAACTTGCTGGAAGTTTCTGTGAGTCTAAACACTTGCCTAATTCCCAGTTCCCACAGAGGTACATGAAGCAACTTGTTTATGTTAACAGAACAAAGGGAAGGAAACAGAGCCCTCTGTTAGGCTACAGGTTTAATCTTTATGAGGCCAAGAAACAAGTGTAACTGAATTTATTCTGGTTTATTCTGAACAGATATTTTCGAATCCTTCACAAGTATGTGAAAGAAAAAAAGAGAGGATAAAAAGCCAAAACATTCCTATGAGTGGTTGAGAG